AAAAAAAAGTATTCACACTATAATAGTGCCTAAAATCATCTTCCTCACTTTGGTATCAGAAATCTCAACATCTACATAACCTGAGGCATCATGCAATGCACCTTTGGAATGCTTGGATGTTGAATTTTTCTTAATTCATCCTCTTCCATTTCTTTCTCTTTGAACAGCTAAATTGCCTTCTACAACTCACTCTTGGATTCATCTCTCTCCTGTGACCTTGACACTGGTGCATAAACTATAAACCTGCATCCAGGCTTGTGAACTACAGCCCAGATTTTGCCCACAGACAATTTCCCTTTCCTTTTTTCTATAATTTCTGGTCAATTGTGCATACACTAAGCCTTTGATATTGACGATACTTTAGACAAATTAATTCGAATTTAAATCGAAACGAAAGGAAACTTGCTGAATCAAAGTAGTTAAGAAACGTGGGTTTAGGCATTGATATTGATTGAAAGGAATACCAAAACGTTCAAATTAGGCCTGCAAGAGCAGGGTAATGATCTGTGGACCTAAAGTACCTCTAGGTCCAATGGACATAATTTTGCTTGGACCCTTTGCAAATAGGCCAAACATGAAGCCGATCAAAGGCCTAGCTTACAATCGGCTATTGAAAACCGGGAGTGCTTGGCCTACCCCAATGATCCCATGTATACGGAAGGCCTAGGCCAGGTTCTCTGTAACGTTAGTGAAGAGTTAGGCTCATCCATTGGACACACAACTATAGGCCTGTACATGTATACCTATCTTGCCTTGTGAAAAGTGTGCTCGTAAAGCTTTACTTCGGGCGGACGCCCACCACGATTCCTGAGGTTGGGATCAGAGAAATGCTCCGGCATGGGTACCACGTGGTTTTACAGGCTCGTTTGACCCCAAAAAGATGGCTTCAAAAGGTGCCGCGACAGCAGCGCCAGTTTCCGCCCCTTGTGTAATTCAGCAGTACCACCACGGAAGGAGTATATGGGGCAGTTGACTATATGCTTCTTGGTTTGAATTTCGCCGCATTGACATAGTGGTGAGTCTTTAAACCGCCATTTGTGCAAAAGATCTGCACATCTACCTTGTGAAGGCCCTCCAATGCTTGCGTCGAAGCAAGAAACCAGGAGGCTCGGATGTAGGGTCCAAGATGAGGCTCTTGTTCTTAACCTCAGCGTCGTTCCATAGTGTTCGCCACTCTTCATCCTGTCCGATGCTGGTGGACCGGAGTGCTTCACCTGCAGTCCAGAAAGGTCTGCGGGACTTAACCCCTTAACTGTTTCAATTTTGGAAGGTCTCCTTACCCTCCCTGCTTTAATTTCCTGATGCAGTTTGCTTATATATGCACCTGCGAACAAAACGTACAATAGCTTCTAAACTACTTGAAGTATTTTCATGAAATTAAAAGCAATAAACCAAAGATCCAAGAAATTATGTTTTCTTAGTGAAAAACTCAAATGCAAATCAGAAGTATCTTAGAATTCTTTTTGTGCAGAAATTTCAGCAGTAACACCGATCTGTCAAATGAGAAGCCAGAAGTAGCAAATATGGCTTTTTTTTGTATAATAGTGTAATTCTGGTTTCCAAACAATACACTGCATCAAGAAAGTGGCCATCAGTATCCTAATTTCATGTGCAGTAGTGTCTTTCCACTTCCGAAGCCTTGCAAACCTCGAGAGTGGCCTGAAAGACAGCTGTTGTGATGCATACCGATTGGTTTCATCTACAATGAGCTCCACCAGTTCTTCTGTCACAAACAGTTCAAACAACTCCAGTGAATCATTCACGTCACTGATAGGAACATTTATGCTAGGTTGTCCCGTAAACTGGCATATTTCAATGGGTCTATTCAACTCCACCCATTTCAGGTCTCTCACGTTTCTTGGGTTTGGAGCACTAATATTTACCCGTTGATCATCCTCATCCCTACGGACACTTTCGATATCCTCGGAATCAATTACTGCAACAATTTCATCACTTTCACCACTTCCATCACTATCACTTTCTTCTAGAATGTTTGGCTCATCAGCATCACTTTCATTTTCAAATAATAACACAACAATTTCATCGCGATCGCTACAAGTACCAATATTAGGTCTCTTAGGAACAGCCATGTTTTGCTGAGTGCAAGAAACCCATAGCCTCCTCTGAAATATATATCTACTTGCTATTATTTCTGGTCAAATGCGAGGAGAAACTGAGCGTAGAGTTACAAAAATATCCACTTAGAGGGCTAGCAGACTCTTATTCAAGTTAAGCGTAACGTTACGTCGAAAAGTAACCGAATACTAAGAGTGTGTAGCAGCGCGTAATATTACGTCGAAAACAACTGGCGCGCAAGAGTGAGGCGCGTAATATTACGTCGAAGACAGTTAAGGGGTTAAGGCGTGCGCGTGGTGGTCGGCTGATGTCGTCGTGGAGCGGAATAGATGCGTTTGAGAATGCTTTGTTGTACTCTCGTAGTGTCGCCTCATCGCGCCTGATGGATGGCGGAGCGATGTTGGCGAGTACAGGAAGCCAAGGCAGTGGGGTCGATTTCATGGTTCCGCTGATGGCGCGCATGGATGCATGGAGCTGGGTGTCAACCAGGTGGGTGTTCGTGCTTCGGGCCCACACTGGTGAGCAGTACTCGGCCGTGGAGTACACCAAAACCAAAGTTGCTGTTCGGAGGGTTCAGGCATCGCATCCCCATCTTGTTCCAGTTAGCTTGTGGATGATGTTGACGCGGCTCTTCGTTTTGTTGCTCACCTGTTTAAGGTGTTGTTGGTAGGTGAGAGTCCGGTCCAGCGTGATCCCCAAGTAGCGAGGGTAGGGATCATGCTTGATCAGTTTACCACAGAAGCTGATCGCCAGCGTCTTCTTTGCATCCTTGTTCGACAGGTGTAAGGCGCATGATACGATAATTCAATTAAATTTGGCAAACGGTCGGGTTATTTTGAGAATAGCCCACAGACAAAAAACATATGTCTGTACTTCGAGCAGAGGCCAAGAAAAGTGAGTTTTAATTTGATAGGATGGGGGTACAAAATGACCCCCAACCCGCCCAAGCAGCACGTTTATGTTAATTTTACTTAAAATGAATGTAAATATTTTTGTCCATTTTAAATCTATTTTACGCAAACCATCATCAAAATAATGTCAACATTTGTGTCAAATGTCACAATACGTAAACGGTGATATAAAATTAACGTAAATTTTACGTAAAATTGACATTCCCGTTTACATCCCCAACAGCATGTTTACACTCATTTTACGTAAAATTGATGTTAATTTTCCCCTAACATGCATGTGTATTTAGCAACCATCCTTCCACTTTTTATTATGCAATCCATGAATATATATATATATGGAAAGCAGGAAATGATTACATATTTTTTAATAATATATGACTCAGGGAATCATTAAATGCTGAAGCAAAGCTTGTTATTACAGCAGTGCATGGGATTAGGGAAGAGTAGAATCCCACCTCACAAGTAATATACCTTCTCTATCCTTAATGGAAGAGAATTCCTCTAAACATTTATTCCTCCTCCCGAGGTCCAGGTACGGTAGGAAGAACTAGCATAGAGTAGAGAGTGTAACTAGAGGCGACACTCCGATCGAATCCCATTCATTTACAGGGTCGCAACATAGATATCGCTGTCGATCCTCCACCTAGCGGGCGCACATCAACAACTCTTCCATGGCCGAACAGCGGACTCAACGAGACACGCGAGCTACGTTGAGGGATCCCTTTGGGTCGAATCCCCGAACGAGTCGTTTCCCGATTCCGCTGCCACGAAGCACGCCGCATGGAAGTGTTGTTGATAATAAGCCACCAGATGTCTCTGTAATATTTCGACCCCTCCCCTACCCCTCGGAGTGTCGCCTCTAGTTACACTCTCTACTCTAGGGAACTAGTGAGTCATCTTGGTACTCTTGAGTGCTGGTGAGGATGAGTACTTGTGTACTCGTCCAAGTAACCTTGAGTTCCAAAGTATGGAAAGGGATGGGAGAAATACTATGTATCTATTCCCTTCAAAAGTACGAATTAGCTTGCTAAATACACATGCATGTTAGGGGAAAATTAACATCAATTTTACGTAAAATGAGTGTAAACATGCTGTTGGGGATGTAAACGGGAATGTCAATTTTACGTAAAATTTACGTTAATTTTATATCAACTTCACGTCAGATGGAGTGACGTCTAGTTTATGCAAAATATGTGTACACTTTGGTGACGTAAATATAGGAACGTAAATTTTACGTAAACGTGATATCATTTTCATGGCAATCGCAAGAAATGTACATTGTTTGCAAAAAAATGATATCTTGTTTACGTAAACATGCTGCTTGGGCGTAGATGCTAAATTCCTGACTACACAGTTATTATGTCACCGCCCTATTTTGATTGGCTATAATTTTTCAAGAAACAGTTGGATGCAGCTGATACTTGACAAAGAAGTTAATAAGTCTAAGAGAATTTTGTACATCAGCAAGATGGAGCTGTCTGCCTATAGAGGGCGCTGCTTTTAATCGGAGGGTCCCCAATATTCGTGCTGCGGCACTTTTAGGTAGGAAAAATTTTTTTTTTAGCCTTTAAACCGTACATAAGCAGCTCTGCCAAATATCCGTTGTATGCGAGAGCCCATTACTGCATTTGAGGTGTAATGATCCACCTGTATACTTCGTAACGGGACAATGCACAGCCCAAAGAAGTGTTCTGAGAAAACTTCAGACAATCTTCTCGACAATTTGTATGCGTCCAATATCAAATCCAAAATCTTATCATTTTTGCTCGAATATACGAATCTTAATTTCTCCCATAGAAAATGGTGGAGCGTTTATTTTGAATCACCCTATATTTTGGGTTTACAGCATTCTTTTCAAATGTCTTGAGGGAGACGTGCCCGAATTCTATCTGGAAGGGAGATGTGGGCGGAATGAATAAAGATATCTCTCTCCTATGGGAAAGCGGGGGAAGCTTGGCTTTCTTTGGATTGTGAATACCGATCTATTGGGATGCCCATTTGGATATGGATCCCAGATCCCTTTAAGGCAAGGCATTCGGGCCCACCTGTTCCTTTTGTATAGACGGAAAGTGGCTCGCGTCGATACCATCTGCGAAAGGAGGAGCTTGCCCTCCAGAGTAGAAGAGATGTCATTGATAAACAAGAGGCTTGGCCCCCAGGACGCTGCCGTAGAGAATGCTGGAGTCGTGCACGAACCTTTCACATAGAATGCAATATGCCTACCCTCTGGAAGGCTCGTTTTCGTTTAGGTTGTCATTTAAAGGGTTGACAGGTTAAGGGCAAAAAAAATTCTTTCATCCAGCTCCATACGAAAAGAGGGAATATTCCAGACTATCTTGGAAGTGGGTAAAAATGATACGCGTTGAAGACCAGTTTCTCCCTTAGATATATCCCAAAAACTATCATCTTTAACGAAAGGGGAAAGGGTATTGTGTGCACAAAATCAACTTTACTTTTCTCCAACATTTTTTGCAGATAGACCGCTTTGCCTTTCAGCCCTTCATTTACGGAATGAGGTGGTTTACGATACCTATTTCAAAACTTTCTTAAATTGTGTGGGCTGACTTCAATTGTCGAGGAAACAAAATAAGTATTTAATTAACACATTAACATTTTTACATTATGTCTACAACAAGGCCGGAAATAGAAGTCCACGAGTATGTCAACTGGATGGCCGTTGAAACTCGCTCTCTTTTCCCTCAGTCTTTTCTTTCCCTAGGCCTGAATGCACAAACTTCATTTAGGGAAGATAAAAAGGTCTTTAAGGTAAATAGCATTTATGGGAATACATAACCTCTCCTCAACAAAAACGTTCGTTAGCTTAAACGAAGTTTAAGCTGAAGAGTCCTTTTTCGAATGCACAACCTGCTTCTAACTTAGAACTCCTTTATCTTCGAATGCGCAAACCTCCTCTAACTTTAGCGGACAGTTAAACAGTTCTCTTACTGGCAAAAAGAAAAAGTAGGCCTGGGACCTACTTTATCTCGTAAACGGGGGAATTTTCCCTTATAACTGGCATTTCTTCCGTGGATCATCGCTCATTTGCAGTCTAGGAACCATGCTGTCATTGCACAATCTGCTTTTCTTGAAATGAAGGTGGAGGTATCATACAATTCTCCTGCGACACACTGGCGCAAGGAATGTCCTTTTATAAAGTCGAAATTCACCGCCCGCTTCTTTGAACTCAGGATCGTATGCGCGAAACTAGATGAAGGCAGCACAAAGAGACAGTCGCGACTGATCTGGAAGGTGTGTGGTATACTTGTTATGAAGAGGAAGAGTTCAAGTGAGATGATCGGACCTGAAGATGTATGTCTGGGTGGAAACGAGATACCAGCCTTTGGCGAGCTCTCCCTCAGAAACAATTATTTGCAGCTTGGAAGAGCTATGTCTAAGGGTGACCTCGACTTTGCTTTGTTTTATAAAAATTTATTTTATGGTATCCAAACTTAGATGGTTTTACTCCTACTCTGCTCTGTCTATGCAGACAAGAGGAGCTGGCTGTTCCGACTATGCTGCACCGGAGGAAGGTCTAAACAAGATCCCTACGGTGAAAAAGGGAGCGAAGAACATCTTGGCATGGTCATATTTAGGGACTACATCGGCCGATATCTCCAAAATCCCATCGCTAAGGTCGGTGATAGAGGATTAACCAAGATATTCGAGTTATCTAACCAATCTGTTGACGTTCCCGAAAGAAAGTGCATGCCAAATTGCCTGAGTTCCACCCAAGGGCTGCTAAAGGTAGTGTAGAAGGTCTTCAAAGGATCTATAGGTCTTAAGACTAGTCATATCCCGTCGCACACGCAGCTTCGACAATCACGAAACACGTCTCCCGTTACCAGGTCGTGGTCATCGTCTGCTTCTTCGCGTACCTGGGCGCGGGCATCTACGGACTGACTCGGCTGGAGGATGCCGCCGTCAGTCAAGAGAAACTCACTCTCAACTCGACGTCGACTTCCAAGTACTGGGAACTGTTCGATGCCTACTTTCGCAGCTTCACCTTCCCCATCGACGTGAGACTGCCTTATTGAGTTCATCATCGTACAATTCCTTTCATTTATCATTGACTCTCCAGTCAGAGGTGTCATGACACGCATAATCGATGTCGAGGAGTTACGATATGGATGACAATTTTGCTACCCGTGTATTGCCAAGGAAGTCAAACTCATGAAACGTGTCGATTTTTTTATTATCTCGATTTAATGCAATTAAATCGAGATCTCGATCGGTGACTTTGAAGGCGATGTCGGCTTTGGTTCGTGGGTGTTAATTCTTCAAGTGACAGTCGACGTTATATCGCCTTGAAAGCAATCTATAAGGATATGAAAAGCATCTCCTATCCAGACTATGTTCACAACTTCCATTAAAAAGTAGATATAATGCTTCGTGTTTCAAAAAGGGAACTATGAAAGCAATGCAATTGAGGAGAGGAAGCAAAAGAAGGGGAATAATATGAAAATATAGTTGTTTACATTGTTACATATTCATTTACCGAGACGTTTTCTGAAAGCGGAAATTTCCTGAAATGATGTGCAATAAGCGTTTTCCTGGGTAGCTTATTAGTCGTAATTTCATCCATCGCGGTCTGTGTAGTGGATGCGTATTCCACATGTTGTGCAGATTCCGTCGCTGGATGATGGAACATAAAAGAAAATCACTGGTAATAGGAAGTGCCTTATTATATTCAACGACAACGTCTTTGAGATTTTTCTACTTTCGAAAGCGGAGTTACCAAACTTGAGGTTTTGCCTAATATAGGGATTCAACCTAACATATGAGAATCTCCCAAGGAACCGATTGCGAAATGAAATGAGTGAAGCGAAACGATGAGTTGCATGTAATCCGACGATTGTATGCAGGTGCTGATCGTGGGAGATCTGGATTATTCCAAGAACGAGACCCAAGACAAAGTGGAGAAACTTTTTCAGCAGATGGAATCGCAAGAGTTCATTGCGGATTCCACCTACACCAAGAGCTGGCTCAGGAACTTTTTGTCTTTCGTCTCGACCACGAGGGAATTCATGGAATTCGACATCTCGACGGAACAGAGTTTCGTGGAGACCCTCAAAGACGTAAGTAGTGCAAGACCTCCATTTGACGACCACGTTTGCTAAACTGCACTCAAAGAATGCTCTTGCGGTATGAAGACTCGATAGTTAAGCCTTCATGCCGCAATTACTTTATAGTTGAGTTTCATCCGTGGTGCCTTAAAAAAAAAGGTTATTTGATGTATGGCATCTTTTTAAGGCAGGAATGATATGAGACCATTGTTACATGCAAAGGATTTTGAATAACAGCACAGAACATAAGGATATCGGAAAGACGGTGGATTGAGTCAAGACAATGGTCCCAACTTCCGTAATTTTTGCTTTTCGATGGATCGGTTTCATCGGCGAGAGAACCGAAACGAGATCCTCTACGGACTCTATGGCATCATTTGTAGAAGTCGCGATGGAATGCTCGTGATGCAATTCAGCAGCATTTCAAATATTCCCTATCTTTTTTTCTCGAGAGCGAATCAAAACGTAACACCGAGCACGAACGAATGAAGTTTTTGGTAAAACAGATCTACCTACCGGGAGGACCATATTTGGATGCTGTGGTGTTCGACGAAGCCGGGAAGAGAATCATCGCCTCCAAGTTCTTGCTCCAGACGCAAAACATGCGGACGGTGTCAAACGAGGTGCAGACCATGTTGGATCTCCGTAAAATGGTAGATGAAAGTGACCTCAACGTCACCGTCAAGGCAGATCCCTTCAAATTTTTCGACCAGGTATCCCCATTCCTTCGATCCTTTTTTTTGCTGAAATTTGCATCGCTATCGAAAATTTGAAAACTCATTTTGCGTCGACAAAGCGTGACACCCATCAGATGGGTTTTGTGTCATCTACATTTATTCGATTTCATTATGGGAGGTATTTATCTACGAAAATAAGAAAATATGGATGCCTCTGGATTGCTTTCGAGCGAGTTGAGCTCCTTTTCGTATCGAATCAAAAGCGAGGAAATAATGAGATCATGTTTCGGGCCGATGGACGTAGATTAATATTTATAATTGCAGCTGATAACTTTGGAGACGGAAGTCCCACGGTTCCATCTCCACTTTGACGAAGACAATTGCGAACTAGTCGAATTGCTTATTTTTCTATTCAGAATCAATTAAAATCAGAAGAAATAGGCTTTTCCTGGAATAGTGTCTTGCACGAACCTCCATTGATTATAGGAATGAGGGTGAAAACAGAATGCAAGGTTCTTTAGGTTAGAACGATCGGTAAACGGTCCTCTGGTTGTATATTTAATAAAGTCACCAGCATATCAACGGAGATGACCTTGCTCTTTATACAATGAGATTTAATCACCCCTCCGTTACAGAATCCCGGATACGGCATTGATGGAAATTGGAAATTGTAGCAGCCGAGAACCACTGGAATGTCTTTTTAAACTTAAAAAAAAAATATTTTGCTCGTAGGGCATTACATGAGGAGCTCAGGGGCAAGGGGCTGTAACCGATGGGAATTTACTTAAGAGTACGTCAGGTTAAGGTTTTTCCAGTTGCGAAGAAAAATGGTCAAGAACATGCCACTTTTTAGCCACTTGCAAGTATCCAAACAAATGGCGGTTACAACCTCTGTTTTCAAATATTTTACCTGCAGTCTTCGTCTTTTGACCAAGAATATCGAGAAGATAGCGCCTAAACAAATTCTAGCTCTAGCCTGGTCAATATTTGCAGGCGCAGGCCAATGAACGTAAGTGCACTTTCCAGGATGTCATTTATGTGGCTTCACTATCCAGTTGCATTGCACTTGAAGCCAGACTTCTGCTCGGCCATGCAAGTGCTTTACAACCCATACTTGAGGCAGGAGACCATTTAGCTATATTTGTAGTTAACATCACGAGACTCGCCGCATTTTAGGCAGAGTAAATGCGAAATCCAAAAGATCATCCAGGACCGTATCAACCTTTAAAAAAAATTATCCTAGAAGCTGTCGATAGTGAAAAAGTACGAGAATTGACGGCGAACGAGAGGGCGATCGTGACCTGTCATGAGAAGGAACGTAATTTCAAAAAGACGTTGGCCCTGGATCCAATACGGAGAAATACCTGTTTCGCTTAAAAATTATTAACGGTCCTGGGACAAGAAAGACAAGTTGAGATGTTGCATCACGTGCAGAGGGGGATTGAGTGGCAAAAGTGGCTGGCTGGATTCTTGCCTAAAAGGCCAGTGTTTCTCTCATTCTATCCTCCCTACCTGTGTCGTGCATTTGCAGTCACTCAGCGGCTTCACTGTTGGGAGTAGCCTCTAAATGTCGTCAAATAAGGGGTATATGAGGCATGCATGCCAAAGCAGAGATCTTCCCTCCACATAGGCCTACGTGTGTGAATCGATGCTCTGCAGTGCGTAGCACTGGCTCGAGAAAATTAGTATAGTAGTTTCATTTCATCTCATCGAAATGAAATTCCTTCCCATATTAAGATCGCACCGTTGTGCACGAATGATTTCTTGCAGCTGGTGTTGGTGTGGCCGATGACGATCTCGGCGGTGGTCGTGGCGACCATCTCGATGATCATCATCGCCCTTCTCCTCATCCCGGATCCCTCGTGTGCGATCTGGGTCGGATTGGGGATCCTGTCCATCGAGACGGGGGTTCTGGGCTTCATGCCCTGGTTCGGACTGGATCTGGACAACGTCACGACTCTCTTCATCATCATCAGCATCGGGTTCTCGGTGGACTTCGTCGCTCACATCACTTACGCCTTCGTTTCCTCTCGGGGATTGTCCCCGAACGAGCGAATGCGGGAAAGCCTCCACAAACTGGGAGTCCCCATCGTGCAGTCCAGCGTCTCCACCATCTTGAGCGTCATTCCTCTCGTGCTCGTCCCCTCTTACGTCATGAAGGCGTTCTTCGCCTTGAACTTCTTGGTCATGTCCATCGGGGCGCTGCACGGCATCTTCGTGCTCCCGGTCTTTCTCTCCCTCTTTGGACCTGGTTCCTGTTCTTCCAAGAAAGGTAGCGAGGCCTTGGAATCCTGGAAGGACCATGACATTCTTCCGGAACTCACGGAAGACAATCTGAAGACTCAGAAGAAGATCAGTCTGCACAGGAGATGCAAGTCTCTCGATTACCCTCCCCTTTTCAAAAACTTGGTTAATTCGGGTGGGGAACTCAATCTATCGTTTTTCGCCAGTGAAACCATTGGTGAATGCTCTCATCTGTGATTGATAATAAAAATCTTCATTATTTTCTGGCGTTCCCGTACCTATCTCAGTGGCCAGTCGGCAGAATGGTCGAAGAACGGGAAGGTTATCACACGGAACCTGTGGCGATGGGGAGAGGGGGGGGGGGGATCTCGCATCATCAACAACTTTGTGCGGCGCAACTGGGGGGCCAGGGTGCATATGTTCTTGTTCTCCGGTGCAGACAATTAGGGGATGGGAATGACAACGATCTGACAAGATCTAGGGACTAGAATCCTAAACGGGTTGCAGTCTGCCCGATTGGTCCGACCCGACACTCAAGTAGTTTAAAGCCGAAATCCTGGAGATCTTTTCTTTGGTCTGGCCGGGAGGAATTTTCCCCCCCCGTTTTATTCCTTTATAAAATCTTTGCCTCTGGACTGGGGTTACGGACAGTTGGCATCTCGACTGGAATCTCGTTGCACGTGATCTGTGGGAAGGAAAACGATTTAGGGGCAGAGAGAATGGAGTCATCGTCATTGACAATCTCCTGTTTATCCATAGCAATCTGAAATGAAGATGATTCGAGGATAAGACTGTAAGCATTTTGACAAGGTATAATGTGGTATTGCACCTTCGTGTTCATCGTGGCACTGGGAAAGAAACTGAAAAACATGGGTTGACGTTTTTTCTAATTTATTGTCCGGGTCGGGTCAAGTCAAGCTCGATTAGAAATCGGATTTCGGGTCGGATACAGGCCTGATTTATGAGCCTCCGAGCAAGGTGATCAATCCGTCTCTCTTCTTCACTCCATTCAGGAACTGCTATGATAGGCAGGACAGAGTAGATTCCTAGCTAGTCTAAAGAGCCAAAGGACCCGAGGAGATGGCTCATCTGGCTTCCGATACACTGTGAATACCCACGGAGGAGTTGTTGGACGCCGGTCCAACAGCCACTCAAGAGGAGTCATCGCGTTGGAGGCTCAGGAATAAGGCATCTGGAAACTAGTATGGGGAGTGATGCTGTCTCGTCCCTCTATCTCTCCTCTCGTAATTCGGAGTGCCGAGAAAAGGACTTCGTAGAGGACGTTTCACACTTGGCGTGCCATGCGTCCTTAGCGTCAATGCTCGGGCAGGTGGACAGACGCACGCGTGCACACGCACTTACATCCAAGGGTTTCACAAAACGCATGACTTGCGTGTAAAAATGGGATGATCTCAGGGCCGGATTAGGGGGGGGGTGAGGGGGGCAAAGGGGGCTGTTGCCCCGGGCCCCACTCTTCCAGGGGGGCCCCAGAAGGAAATTAACGTTAAATACAGGGTGGGGCAAAAGTCAGTTTACCGTAAGCACGTGTTTTTAATTTTTGTTTTTGTTTATTCCAGATTGAAATTTGATATTAAAATTGGAAATTGGAAATGGAGCAACGTATGAAACTAACAATGGAGCAACGTGTGTTTCTTCTGCAGGAATGGTGGAAAACAAACATGGGTTTATTTATTACCTTTAATATTATATTACAAGCATGCACTTTCGGTAAACTGACCTTTGCCCCACCCCGTATTTGTGCAAAGTAGCCCCGGGGGGGGGGGGGGGGGGGGGGGGGGAGC